TGCTCAAGAATATTTTTTAGTTGAAATAGTAGAAGACTCAGAGAATGATCCTAAAGAAGGCTAACCTTTAAGATAAAGACAAAAAATGAAAAAGCCTGAAAACCACAGAGGAAATAAGGAGGAAAATGAGTATGATATGAAAACAAAGGATAAAAGATATTCAAGGAGAGATTGATCCACAGTGTCAAATGCTGTTTGGAAATCAAATATGATTTAAAAACTTAGAATATCCATTAGATTAAGCAATAGTGAATCACAATGACCATGACAGGAAAAGGAACAGAATAGTGGAGTTATAAACCAAACATCAGGGGTTTGGAGAATAATTGGAAGTGAGAAGCTGAGACAGTGGATATCAACATTTTTTTTATGAATTAGATTATGGATAGGAAAAGAGAGAAGTTGTCAAGGTGTATGGGGTTGATGAACATTTTTCCTTATGAGTGGGCAAGTTTTGAGTATACTTACAATGGTGTAAACTAGCCAGTAGAGTTCCTGAAGTTGTGAGTTGAGAGCATATCTGAAGGATCATAAATCCTAAACTATTAAGTTCACACATATTTGTGTACTCTTTGTGTAGGACAAAGTGGTCATATACATTTTCATATGGTTCAACCTAATAGATTGGAGAACTTGAACAAACTGTAGGCATCCTCTTGAGAGTATGAATGGATATAAGTAGGTTTGTTGGTTTGTTGTCAGGAAGTTGAAGGAATTCTCACCTAACTGATCACCACATTATTTCCTTGAAGTAGCAGAAACATGAGAGGACAGGTGATGAGAATTGAAAGTTTGAGGAGGCTGGAGAAGTTGAAAATAGTCATTGTGGAAAACGGGAATATAGACTAAAAGAAGGTAGTAGAAATAGGAAGTGGAGCTGAGGGCTCAGAAGAACTGGTACTTCCTGCACATTTGTAGTGTTCCTCAGTGGTCTGTCTGGGCAGAGATGAGCCATTGTTCAGATAGTTACAGACTCTGTAGAATTTATCCAGGTATGAATGATAAAAGAAATATGGGACAAGAGAATTAAATGGAGTTTAAGACATTGAATTTGTTGGAATGATGAATCTAAGGATCACAAGAGGAAGAAAGATGACTCTGTGTGTGTGTGTGTGTGTGTGCGCATGTGTGCTTGATGTTTGGTGGAGTTGACAGCTGAAGTATATGAAGAATTCATAGATTGGAAGAGCCAATGAATAATAATTTAAAAACCTGATGCATTATGCATTAGAAGTAACTAAGACTGTAAGAAGGAAGGTTAGGATAGTGATAGTTGTCCAAAGTTATGATTCAGAGACAGTAACAGCAAGTCATGACAAAGTCTAGGGTGTGGGCATGAGAGTAATATTTCAAGAGAAGATTACAGAGATGAGACAATTAAGGGAACAAATGACGAGAACGTTGGAAGTCAACCACATGGGAACTGAGGCTACCTAGGGTAAACGTAAGACTTGGAGAAGAGAATGAGATAGGGAGGTGAGTGTCCGTCTTTAATAAGTAGAAGGCATTATCATGGGTCCATGAGGACAGTAGTGAGGAAGGAAAGGGGTGGAGAGCAGCATTGTTCGAGCTTCCAATAACAAGACAGTTCACAAGGGTGTGGAGAGTAATGATCTGAGGTGGCACCGAGGAGTGAGGAGGACAAAAAGTAAATCCTCAATAATAAACCCTTGAGAAGGCTGTAAAAAATTCTCTGTTCTGAAGAAAGAACTATATTTCAATTTTCCAGGGATATAGACACTATTCAATGAAAAAAATGTTTGGATGTAGCACATTCCAGAAATTGTGAAAGTGCAGAAGATAATTTATCCTAAGGAAATAATTTTGAATATGTGCAAAAACTATCCAGAAGGATGTTCGTTATTACAGTGTTATTTATAATGTATCAATTTTAACAAGATTGAAAAATTTTAAAAATAGAAGCTACTTAAATTAAAAACAATTTATCATGGCATTTTCCTGTAAACTACTTAATCATAGGTAAAACAGATATGTTTGTGTCTTAAGTCTTACTACGTGTATACATGTCTTACATCTAGGTATATATGTTTAATGTATGTATGTGTTCTGAAAAAGCTTGAAGTGTATTTATAAACTTGAAATTATGCTATTCAGAGATATTAATTACTCTTATTCAGTTTGGGGGCCATCTATCTTTTCATTGTTTTGCATCCAGTCCTAGTAGTACATTCACAATGCTGAATTCCTAGAGCCTAAGATGCTATTACAGAAGCTGAGGGAAGCCTCTCATTATAATGACAGGTTTGCTTTCCAAATTAAAGTCATTAAAGTCACTGTTTTCTACAGTGACATGCTTTCACTTGACAGAGTCCTTTTATGCCATTTCTATAAAATCCAAACTTGATTTAAACAATTAATGTGGGAAATAACTTAAAATCCACTAATGGGTGTTATTACAAGAAGAGACTCTTGGTGGTTACCAGAGGTTGGGGTAAGAGATGGGCAAAATGGGTGAAGGGGTCAAAAGGTACAAACTTACAGTTATAAAGTAAATAAGTCATGGGGTTGTAATGTACAGCATGATGATTTCAGTTAATAATACCGCATTGTATATTTGAAAATTATGAAGGGAGTAAATCTTAAAATTTCCATCACAAGGAAACAAATTTGTAACTAGGTATGATAACAGGTGTCAATGTGACATTGGGGTGAACATTTCACAAGATATACTAATGTCAAATCATTATATGGTACATTTGAAACTATAATGATATATGTCAATTATATCTCAATTTTTTAAAAGAGAAGAGATATTTCTGAGGCAGAGAAATGTACAATTTTTTAGAAACTCATTGTAGGAATGCAATAATTCAAGGAATCTGTTTCATAGTTATTCACTTTTAAGAAAGAAAAAAGTACTAAGTATTATAAATATATTTACAACTCTATATATCACTATATCTAAATACAGAGTGGCTTACTAGAAAAATAAAATATTTCTGTGTAAAAAAGAGTCTTTAAAGGTAGTACGAAATCTAGGTAAGTGAATTTTAAGTTAATGAGGAGAATCCAAACAACCAGTAGCTGATGAGTTGTTAGTTGGAAATTAGTCCCAAATAAATTTGATGAACAATTAAACTGTTCAACTAACAAAATATGTGCCAGGCATTCTAATTAGTACTGGCAGGCACAACAAAGAGTATGATATATTTTCTTCATAATACTCACAGGTGACAAAAACTAATAAATAAAGGGTTATTTGTATATTCCAAATGGAGAAAACCCTCTGAGACTTAACTACACTGGGGCATGGATTATCCATGGAGAGTAGAGATAGCTTTTCAACAACACCTCTTCCACTCAACCCATCACACTCATCCCTTACTATTCCTGTGAGCCTCAAAGCCAAAGAAAGCCAAAGGCAATATGGCAAAAATTTATCTGGGTAGGGATTGGCACCATCGAGTTTTTAAGGATTTTAGATCTGGAGGGAGAATTTTTGAAAACCTTAGTCTATTGACCAGATGAAGGTCTTTTACTTTCCCAGCTTTTTACTTCAGTCTATTTTTCCTGTCTCTCTCCCTTTACATCACTTTCATTTCTCTCCTTACCTTTCTGGTAGATTTATTTTGCGTTTAACCAGCTATAACATTTAACCAGAATTGACATTTACATAAGCCTTAAAAGAAACTGAATTAAAACTGTATGTTTATTTATCCCTATCCCTCCAATGCCAAAAATGGTGACTGGTACATAGCAATTCTTGAGTAAATGCTTGACTATTAAAGATACCGAAGAGCAAAAAATAGATTAACTAAATTCTCTTTATTGGTGTGGAATCACAATTTTCACCCTGCAGATTAGAGATACTTTGAAATAAAAATAATAGTAATAGTGATTATCATTTTGTTTCTGTTATTGTCCATTTGAAAAGAATATCCTAATGAGTGCTAGTTCTAGAAGTAATATCAATTAAATGTGAAAAGTTGTTTTTGTTTAATTTGTTTTTTAGAAACCTAAACCTTAATTTGTGCCTCTAAGGTGAGCAGGGAGAAGGGGGAACATTTTTAGTCAAATGGTCTGCCCCTGAGCTAGTCCTTCAAGGGGAACATTTTGAATGATTATAAAGAATTGTAACTAATGGGGGAGACTGTGATCCAGAAATCCACGTGTGTTTTATTGAGTTTTATATACAATATTATATTATAACCAGTGAAGAAAAGAGTGCAACTCTAATTAAAAGTCATTAGAAAAGACATTTGTAATTCCCTTATTACCTTGAGCAACTTGCACTCATTAACATCATATTTGTATATGAAGAATTAATGTTCAAGGTGTAGAAAAATACAGAATAGATCGGACAGGGGAGTAGGGGCTAAAAACATTTAAGATTTATTTTCTAGAGACTTCCTTCCAAATACATTAAAAACAGAAATCTTAGAAGTATTTCCTTCTCACTTTTTATAGTCTTATGTACAAATTATTCTTATACTGTTCTTTAATTTTTTATTTTAAAAGGCAAATGATTTCTCAAAGGACATTAAAATTCTTATTTTTTGAAGTTTTACTTACATTTATCAGTTTCACAATGGGGATTAAAGTACAGTACTTTCTATACAACTTACGTATTTCTTCCATTTTCAGTATATCAAATGCATAATTTAGAAAGATCACAAACAGCATTATGTATTCTAAACTCTGAGTTGAGGGTGAGAAAACACCTTCTTACTTTCTCCATCATTCCACGCCTACAAATTTACACAATTTTACCTCAGCCTCTCTGGTTTTCCTCCTTTCTCTGTGATTATGTCATTTTCACATTAAATTTTCCAATTAAAATCCAACATGTTAAACTTACCAAATCTTAAATAAAAAATCATTAGCATTGTTTCCTGAAATAAGAATATTAACATTACTGTTGTTATTTTCTTCAACAATAGAGAAAAAAACTTTTGAATTTACAATTCAGAATAATTTCCTGAATTGGAAACCACAAAATCTGAAACAAGTCTTTTAAATATAAAAAATAATAAACTTACTGGTACATCATACACCGTTGAGAATGCAGACTCTTCTGCCTCTGTGCTGCTTTGTGATTTCTCGTCAAATGAGTAGCATCCTGGGCATTCTTTCAGACTTGGAAACTGGATAAAGAGAGAATACTTAAGGACTTAAAATAAACTAGTTTAACAAGTTGGGATGGGTAAACTTTAACCAGCAGTATGGTTTGAGGTAAAGAATCACTTGAGAATCTTTGTTGCAGGAAGTAAGAATTTCCTGGTTCTGGATAATTAAAGGAGAAATAATATTGTGCCCAAAACCTAAGCAACACCCTTGAGTACTTGGAGCAGTTTTTGTTTGTCTTTCAAGAGATGGCACTCTGTTCTGAGTCAGTACAGTCTGGTCTTAAGGCCCTGCCTTTACTTCTGTCAGAGGCAAGTGTGAAACAAGATCCGAGATTTCCGTAGTGGGTTTCCTTGACTCACTTTTCTTGCTGCAGTGGTATGTGTACTCATTATGTCTGCCCAGTAATTCATTTGTGTCTGCTTAAAGGGGAATCCAGCTTTAACGTGGGAAAATGAAAACATATTTGTGCCATTGCCTTTTGCAAGGGCTTCCCTGACTCTCCATGCGCTTTCCTTTGTAGCTACAGCAGCGTCTTTGAGTTTCCTTTTCTGTTGATCAGATCCTTTTCTCCTCATTGTGTCTTTGCCCGCATGCCTAAAATATTGTTTCCTTTCTTTGTAGTGCAGTTCTCAATTCAAAATCCACCTCACTGTAAGGTTCAAGTCATTTAGTTAGGATGTGACTACACAGGGTCCATAGACTCTGAAAGCCTACATTCCAAGATAACTCCTCCTGGATGTTATCTTTTAATTCCCCTACCAACCGAACAATCCTCGACCCATGCTTTCCCTTCAAGCAGGCGTTTAGTTTTAGTTTTGCTTAATTTCAAAATGTTTCTCCTGTTAGATAGTGAAAGATTTGAGGCCAGAAACTGATATCTTTGAATGAATGCACTTATCAGCACCTCTGCAAACACTTTGACATTCAATATGTGGTGAATCTTTCCTTTAGTCAACTTGACAATCAACATTTAAATTCATATTTCAGTTTCTCTTTTCTTTTGAAAAGAAGTTTTTGGCAAAACAGAAACATATAATTACAATTAGTAAATGAGCATGGGGAGACGGGGCCAAGATGGTGGAGTAGTAGGACGCTCGTAGCTCAGCCTTTCCCACAGGTACACCAAGACCCACATCCACGGACCCACCCAGCCAACCAGAGCACCTGCGGAACTCTGACAGAGCATTGTCCTCTTCAGAAGACAAAGATGCCAAAAATCTGGTAGGAGAAAGGAAAAAAAGAAAGATGAAAAGGCAAAACAGTGCGAAACTGGTCCCACAGGGAGGGAGGCGCAAAGGAGGACTGGCGCTGATTCACTGGGTCTCCCCCTTTCCAACGGAGAGGCCAGCGGGAAGGAGGGGGAGCCTCCGAGGCTCTGATCTGTACGGAGCAGCCCTTGACTGATAGAACTAAGTTAAATGGGCACAGAGCGTCCCTGCAACACCCAGCCCAAGATCCAGGCTGGGAGCTGGGGGCCGGGACAGGCTGCCTGAGTGGGCGGAGGACGGGGATGGCTGCACTGAGGCAGCTCCGGGGGACTGCAGGGTGCTACGCAACGTTGATGAGTGGGTGCACAGGGCAGAACAACATGAGCCCTCCGTAAAACAGCACGGCTGATGTGCCCTGGTTGAAGGGTGCATACCTCCATCTCTGAAAACCCACGGAAGGTTTTTGGCCAGGAGAGCTGGGGCTCAGGTGCGGCTGCCATATCCTCCGGCACTTGGCACCCAGGTGGGGGTGGGGGTGAGACCTGAATCTGTGCCTGGGGGCTTGGCACCCTCAAAGGCCAGACAGTGACTTGTTTGCAGCTGCAGTCAGATAGGATCCTTCGGCCTTGGTGTCTCGAAGAGTTCGTGCTGCCAGGACAAACGAGCTGAATTTAGACACGGAGCAGGGGCGGGGCTGTTCTGCGGTCTTCCCAGGGTCCGCCTGGGGAGCGCCCACCTGGGGCAGAGCACGCAGCGGCGCGGAGCTGCGGAGCGACAGGCACTGGGAGATGGCGGGTGGCCCCCCGCTTTTCCGGCAGGAATGCTGTGCTGGGAGGGGGCGCGATCTGCTTGGCGACGGGCACTGGGAGCAGCACAGATGAGGGCGCCAATGGAGGGCCTATGAAAACAGCAAGCTGAGTTCATGAAACAGGGCGAAGACAGAAAGACTTCTCATTAAGAGCACACAGTCTCCAGGAGAACACCCCTTCCCCCCCTTTTTTAAAAATCTGTTTTTACCTGTTGTATTTTCCATTACTTTTTAAATTTTTACCTTTTAAACAATTACATATTCTCTCAGCTTTAATCCCTTTTAAATTTTCTCTTAAAAAATATTATTTTAAAAAATCCATGTCATGTCATTTTTATCTCTCTTGGTTTTGATCTCCTGTTATTGATTATACACAGGTTACAAATATCTTTTTCCTCTTTTCTCCTTTTTTATAGGTTTTTAAGAGACGTTGCAGCCCGATTGCTATTCTGCTTCAACTTGCT